AGAGAGAGAGAGAGAGAGAGTTCTTCTTCTTCCTCTTCTAAGTCCACCATCTCTTCTCACCCTCTCGCCACCTGACTTCTCAGACTATGACAAAGAGAGACGGAGTTGTGACTTGAGACTTGACGACATTGGATCCAGACTTGACATTTGGGATTCAGACATTCCAACGAGGGACTATTTGGGCCTGTGCCGAAGACTTGGTGTTGACGACATTCCCATCTTCCCCCTCCTCTTCGTCTAACCCCCTTCTTCTTCATCTGTGTATGGTAGGGGCTGGCGCAGTCTTCCTGTGTGAAGCGCCAGGCCCCATTCACACCGTGTAACGATGATGATGATGTATGTTCAGAGATGCATTGCAATATTGATTGTCGGATCATTGGTATCTAAGTCTTCCGATGTGCTATCTTATACTTTGTATTGAGAGGTTAGTTCTTGTTCTGGTCTGCAACGTTACGAGGTCCCTGACCATCTGTTCATTAGTGCTTTGTTCATCAACACCAAGGGAGGATGTCAGATCTGCCTCAGCCACATGGCAACCATCCACGGCGTCCAGGTTTCAGACCTGTACAAGAAGGTCTCCTGGGAGGATATGACAAAGGAATGGAAGAAGCGGTTCATCGTCGACGACGCCCCGACACTCGCCATCAACCGCATCTTCACGATGGCTCAAGGGAGCACACCGACACGTGACTGACTCACGGATTGGCAGAAGATCGTGGCAACGCCCGATTTGGACTTGCCATTTCCGCATCTGCGCCGTGAGTTCTACAACAGGTCATGCGCCGCTCTCAGCCTCGCACTTGGTGATCGCGAGCAGTATAGCACTTTCGCAGAGATCATCAACAAGGCGAGGGAGATCTTCAAGACCAATAGGGCAGCTGCACACGAGAAGTCAACGTGGCAGCCAACCTATGTGGAGAAGGTAAGAACTGGTCCGTGACAGCAGCAGTTCGCTGCAGTCCAGTCGGACAGTGGAGAAGACCCAGCAGCCACTCCAGCATCACGTGAGGGAGATCAGGTGGCTGCTGTCCAGCCGCGAAGCAACAACAAGTCCGGGAACAATGGGAAGGCGAAACCAGCATCGCAGGCCGGAAATGGACAGCCAGCACCACCATGGGTCAAGTTCGGCTTGACCGAGGCGGAGTACAAGTACCGCGGCCGCTACGGCTGCTGCTACAGGTGCAACAGCACCAAGCACACGACCTCCCTTTGCCAGGATCAGGCCAAGGAGGATGTGCAACCCTGTCTCAACTCGGAAAACTGAGTTTCGCGGGAGGTGAGGCGACTCCACCTTCCACTCCGCCAGATTCGGCCGCCTTGCTAGCGGCCTCCTGCACATCTGGGGAGGATGCGAATGTCGTAAGTTCTTGATACACTTACGAGGACTATGTTGTCCACTTGGTTTCACCGCTGGACCAACCGCTCCATGTGCAACAATCAACCTCATGCACGGTTTCATCACCATCGGCAACCGATTCGGCAGTTTCATCGCCATGTATCGCCGGGGATTCGACGTCATGGTCAAGACTTGAAGAGCTCGACCCATTGACGTTCGCGGACTTCCAATGGATGCCCGTTCCCTCGACCAGACGATTGCCGAAACCGCATTGCAACGTGCTCATGGCACAACTGCGGGATTACTTGCACACTGCAGTACCGACTCCGTTGATGGACGCCGGAGTAGAGGTTGTCGACCTTCACGCCTACATTGCGAAGATCGACCGCGAGTTCAAGACGCAACGGTACGACGACATAGACGCACCATTGCTATATGTACCCATTCAGATCGGAGAGACGACCTGCAGCGCTTTGATCGATTGTGGAGCATCTCGCAACTACATCAGCCAGGACTTCATGGTGCGCGTCGGCCTTGGCCCACGCGTCCGAAGGAAGCCCCAGCCCACGCAAGTCACGTTGGCGGACGGTCACACGCACAAGTCAATCGACCGGTGCATTGATGACGTCACAGTGTACTTTGCCCCTCACGCAAGTGAGGCGGTATCCTTTGACATTCTGGACACCAAATTCGACATGATCTTGGGCATGTCATGGCTGCGAAGCAAGGATCACCCGATGAACTTCTATAATCGCACCGTTCACATTCGTGATCGGAACGGAATACTAGTCCCATCCACGGTGCCTCTTCCTCATCCTTCAATCAGCTGCCACGTGGTATCCGCCGCAAGCATGCGAGCTTCCATCATCAGAGACGACATCAAGGAGATGGGGGGGTGTTTTCTCCACGCCCTCCCGCCCCATGACGCTTCATCGACGGACTCATCTTCGGATCCACGCATCACCGAACTTCTCGACGCCTACAGCGACGTGTTCGAAGGCCCGCACGGAGTAGTACCGGATCGCCCCATCCGCCACGAGATCATCCTCGAGGACGGGGCTGTACCTCCGCGCGGTTGCATCTACCGAATGAGCGAGGAAGAGTTAAGTGTGCTTCGAGCACAACTCGACGACCTTTTGGAGAAAGGTTGGATTCGGCCTAGCTCATCGCCATACGGTGCTCTTGTTCTCTTCGTCCGGAAGAAGAACAAGGATTTGCGGTTGTGCATCGATTATCGCAAGCTCAACGCGCAGACGATCAGAAACGTCAGCCCTCTCCCATGCATCGACGATCTTCTCGAGCGACTGGGCGGCGCCAAGTTCTTCTCCAAGCTCGATCTCAAGTCGGGATATCACAAACTCGAGATTAGCAAGGAGGATCGCTACAAGATCGCGTTCAAGACTCGGTATGGGCATTTCGAATGGCTGGTTATGTCATTTGGCCTTACGAATGCCTCGGCCACTTTCCAAGCGGCTATGACAACGGAGTTCCGACACATGCTGGATCGATACATACTTATCTACCTCGACGACATCCTGGTGTACAGTCGGAGTTTGGAGGAGCATACGGAACACCTGCGCACCGTTTTGGAGCGGCTACGACAAGCCAAGTACAAAGCCAACCGCGGCAAGTGCAAATTCGCGTGGCAGGAGCTGGAGTACTTGGGACATTATGTGACGCCGCAAGGCATCCGTCCGCTTGCGGACAAGATCGAGGCCCTACGAGTATGGCCCGAGCCCACCAACACCATGGACGTTCGTTCATTCATGGGATTGGCGGGCTACTATCAGTGATTCATCACCAGATACTCGAGGATTGTTGCATCTATGACGAGATTACAATCGTCAAAGGTGCCATTCATGTTCGATGACGACGCACGCCGGTCATTCCAAGCACTTAAGACGGCTATGCTCATGGCACCCGTCCTTAGCATCTATGACCCCACCCTGTCAACGAGAGTGACTACGGACGCTTCCGGCTATGGCATTGGGGTAGTCTTGGAACAGCACGACGGCGACGACTGGCACCCTGTAGAGTATTTCAGTCACAAAGTGTCTCCTATCAACTCGCTTGATGATGCAAGGAAGAAGGAGCTACTCACGTTCGTCGTGGCTCTCAAGCGATGGCGACACTTCCTCCTTGGGCGTCGTAGGTTCACATGGGTTACGGACAACAATCCATTGACCTACTACAAGACGCAGGATACGGTAAGCAGCACGATCGGACGATGGATGCACTTCATCGACCAGTTTGGCTTCACACCGAAACATCTTCCCGGCCTCTCAAATCGCGCAGCAGATGCACTCTCGCGAAGACCTGATCTTTGCGCTATGACATATCATGCCTTCGCATTCGACGAGGAGCTTCAGCGACACTTCATCCGGGCATATGAGTCTGATCCGGACTTTGCCGCGCTATATGCACAGCTATCTTCGGATCACCCGCCGGCCAGTCACTATCACATTGTCGACGGGTACTTGCTCCTCCACTCGAGAGGCAAGGACTTATTGTGTGTCCCACGAGACCGTCGTTTTCAGACTCGCCTTCTCGGGGAGTACCATGACTCGCGACTCGCCGGCCATTTCGGACTCAACCGCACCATTGCACGGCTTCGACAACGATTCCGATGGCCTGACCTCATTACCGATGTCACTCGGTATTGCGACTCTTGCGAAGGTTGCCAACGTAGCAAACCCCGCAACCGCAATCCCTATGCCGAGTTACACCCGATGCCCATCCCATGGAACCCCGGTCTCTCCATTGCCATGGACGTCACTGGTCCGTTCCCTCGCGACCGGCTCGGACACGACGGCATCCTCACGGTTGTGGACCGATTGAGTAAGTACGCGCGTTTTCTTCCTTACAAGTACTACTCCACGGCTCCCGAGCTGGCTTGCCTCCTGCACACCGGTTGGATTTGTGGCCACGGTGTACCAGAAGACATAGTCAGTGACCGCGACACTCGCTTCATGTCGGCATTCAAGTTCGGCTCGGCATCCACAGACAGACGGGCAGACGAAGCGGGCACATCAAACCGCTCAAATGATGCTTCGTACGCTCATCTGTCTGGACCAGAAAGATTCGGTTGACCGCCTCCCCTCTCCGCGGAAGAGTTTGCACTGGAACAGGATGTTTCACGAAAACTGCTTCCCAAGTGGTTTGGACCATGGTCTGTGACATCAGCCGCGGGCGATGAGCCCGATGGCCCTTCATTTGTGATCAACATTCCCGAGCATCTGACGGTCCATCCAGTCTTTCACGCATCAAAGCTGGCAACATATACACCAACTAAGAGCGACGACTTCCCGGGCCGACGATCGCAGGACCCTCCATCTATGGATGGTCATCAGGAGGTTGACCGCGTCATCTCGGATCGCAAGTACGGCAGCAAGCCACGACATTACAAAGTTACATTCAGAGCATGTGATCCCGACGACACTCGGTGGATTTCAGGAGCAGATTTGAAAGCATCTGTACCGCTGATCTACGCTCACTATGAGCGTCAAAGGTTAGCCAAGGGACCTCGACCTGCCCCTCCCACCCGGACTGTGGTCCCTCCCTCAGACAGACAGCTTCGCCCTCGCAGGTAAGCTCGGTCTTTCAAGGAGGGGGGGGTGTGGCATACTGCGTAGCCACACGGGCCCTGCAGGGCCCATCCTGCACTTTGAGCCTAAAAGCCTAAAACTTACGGCTTACAGGCCCCGATCGTTTCAGCCTGAAAGCTGAAATACGAGGGTCTGCAGGCCCTATTCCGTTTCAACCTATTTCTGGGCCTTTCAGGCCCAGAGGCTTTTCAGCCTGAAACGGAGGGCCATTTTCAGACCCTCATTGTGTTCGACCTACCTAAGACTCAGGCACGGAAACAGGGTTTCGGGAACAGGCCAGAAATAGCCTGTTCCCCACGCCAGCTCGAGCAGGAGCTGCAGCTGCAGCCCCTGCCTCCCTTCGGCATTGGCAAGAGCAGCCTCCTGGACTGCTCGCCTGCAGTCAGGAGGCACACCCGAGTAGTACATAGGATAGTCCCATGCACTTCACGGGTAGGTAGTTGTCAGTAGGCACGGGTAATCTTCATGATTTGGCCGCAGCACTCAGGAGGAGCGCTGCAGTAGTCTTCAGCGCTAGGCAGTAGTTAGCGCTAGTAGTAGTCTTCGGCGCTGGGCGCCCATAGCCATAGCTGTAGTCTTCAGCGTTGGGCGCTATGGTAGGTGGTAGATCGTAGAGTTGGGAGAGACACTGGCGGAGGCCAGTGGTACTTACCTGTGGCGCCATCACTCCAGCTCCCTCTGCGAGGTACCTGCATCAAGGCACCAACTTCACAGGTTAGTACTGGACACAGAGAGAGAGAGAGAGAGTTCTTCTTCTTCCTCTTCTAAGTCCACCATCTCTTCTCACCCTCTCGCCACCTGACTTCTCAGACTATGACAGAGAGAGACGGAGTTGTGACTTGAGACTTGACGACATTGGATCCAGACTTGACATTTGGGATTCAGACATTCCGACGAGGGACTATTTGGGCCTGTGCTGAAGACTTGGTGTTGACGACATTCCTATCTTCCCCGTCCTCTTCGTCTAACCCCCTTCTTCTTCATCTGTGTATGGTAGGGGTTGGCGCAGTCTTCCTGTGTGAAGCGCCAGGCCCCATTCACACCGTGTAACGATGATGATGATGTATGTTCAGATCTGTATTGCAATATTGATTGTTGAATCATTGGTATCTAAGTCTTCCGCTGTGCTACCTTATACTTTGTATTGAGAGGTCGGTTCTTGTTCTGGTCTGCAACGTTGCAGTATGCAACATGGGGTCTAGCATCTGCAGTAGGGACAGTATGGGCCATCGGAGTTCCTACTGATATTCAAATAGAACTGTCTAGTGACTATATATAAGGCTTAGACCCTAGGGTAAGGGTAGGGGTATAAGTCGCTCAGGCCAAGCCGAGTTCCGCCTGGCCTTGGGTAAGCTAGGGGAAGGACGGTAAGATTGCTTCAGTGGGTGCTACCCTGTCTGAAACTTAAGGCCCAGAGTCTCTTAGGGCCTGTAGTAGATTGTCTGGGCCTGGCGTCCGAAGTTCCCGTTCGACAAGGCTCGTCCGATTCCGCTTCCACCAGGGCTGGGCAACCTATCAG